AAAGTAAATATAGTATTGCATCAAATTACAAGAATTTTCAGTTTCCTAGTACATATAAAGTTATATTTATGGGGAACTAGAATCTGTTTTTTCTGCAAATAGCCTAAAAACATTGTGCATTGCTTAATTAAAAAGCATTTTATTGCTAAAAACAATACAACCAATCATCTGAACCTACTGGGTAGTAATCTTTTATCTGTAGAGATTTTGCCTGGATGTTGCTACTTCTGACTGATCAGAGTGGTGAATGCTCAAAGATGTGAATTACTGTGGTATTTTGTTAAAATAACACAGTTGTGAAGATTTTCCAATTGATTAACTTTTTGTTTCAAAGAATCGTTTTCTGGAAATAAGTTCACAATAAAATTAAAAACAATTATATATATGTATATATGTATATATATATATATATATATATATATTAAAATTTGTATTTTGTATGTATGAGTGATTCACCTACATGCATGTCTATGTGCCAAGTCTGTGTAGTGAGAGATGATGTTTGATAACATTTTATAAGCTGCTATCATATTTTGGGTATAATGTATCCACAGTACATGCTACAGTTATGAACCCAAATTTATGGAAGAACTTAAGCTGGGAAAAATTTAAGTCTCATTGTTAAAAACCAAGTATAAATGGGCACTGCATTATGATGTCATTTATCAAACTACTGTCACAAGAATTGTTTTCTGGAAATAAGTTCACAATAAAATTAAAAACAATTATATATATATGTGTATATATATATGTATATATATATTAAAATTTGTAATTTGTATGTATGAGTGATTCACCTACATGCATATCTATGTGCCAAGTCTGTATCTGGTATTTAAGGAGGCTGAAGGAGCGTATCCAATTACCCAGAATTAGATTTACAGAAAATGTTGAGCTGCCACATGGGTGCTAGGAACTGTGGCTTTCTGAAAAACCTCTGAGTCATCTCTTCAATCCTGAATGAAATGTTTTACAATTTAGCATTGCTAAAGAAATGTTCCTATTGCTTTAGATAAAGTTGTTAATAGAACTAGATAGCTATAATCCAACCCACTCCTGACTTCAAGCATGGAGATATATCATTATAATTAATTCTAATAAAATAAAAGATCCCTCCATCACTAGAAGAAAATCTTGTGTTATGGTGGTATCTTATTGATTACAAATGTATCTAGGCACATGGATACATGTCATACAATAGCAAGAAAAAAATGTATTCAGTGTCATCTTAAGAGTATTTGGGGGGTAATATTGAAATAGCTACAAAAGTTAAAGAAAGTACTGATACTAAAGCAAAAATTACTACAAGGTGAAATAAAATACCCTATTTTAACACAGTAAGTGATTTGTGATGATTATCCTGTATTACTCATGTACATTATTCCTTGCATTTATGTGATTGTTTATTCACACTATTTACCCTGATATTGTATAGGATCTGATTCTAACTATATATGCTTGATCTTCTCCCAAAGAACCTCTACATTTTTGCATTTTGGCCATTGTATAATTTCACAACAGAAAGACAAGTTTATGATGAATGGGAACATCAAATCATATCCCTTATGCAGTGCCACTCCTCAAAGGAAGCCAAGACAGAAATGGATATAGTCACCATCTTGTCTCCAAAGAGAAAGCACCATTACCTGAATGTTCCATTGACAAAATAAAGGTTTTCTTTTCTACTCATGAACCAGCACCATGCCCCCCATGTGCTGCCCTCTTGAAGACATATGTCAATCAATTAGTTTTCCCTAATATTTCCAAGTCTCTTTCTGTTTTTGCTACCTCTGCAGTGACTTCTTCCATTGAGGACTTGAATCTCTCCTTAAGCATCTATGAAACCTACATCTTCTTGTAAATTCTTCCTAATGTTGCTATTTTGATCACTTCCCATGAACCTCAGGTACCCACAACAGAGAGTCAATATTGATCATGGCTACAGCCTTATGAATGGATTAATTAAATAATAAGGCTTCCAAGTCCAAAAAACTCTCTGATGCATGGGTCAGTGCCTTGGAAATTGCACCATCGTAGTCCACCTCTGTCAGATCTCTTAGATAACAAAGTGCACTCACTGCCCGTGACCAGTGATATTTTGAAAGGAATGTTTTGAAACATTATGTCTCAATACCGGCTTCAAATATTCAGTGAACCATGTTGCAAATAGGTCTTCTGCCATCCAGGATTTATTGATGTTTTAGTGTAATTCTTAAGGGCTCTAGGATTTTCAAAATGACAAAGGCATGGTAGCTTCTAATTAAAGTCAGTAACTATACTGACTCCGAATAAAAGAATTATTCTGCCCTTTGATGTTTTAAATTAGGCACTGACTTCTCCATACAAGTTGTACAAGTCGTAGAGAGCTTCCTTTAATACAAGGCTATCTCACCGACATTGAGAAGCTATTGTTCACAATAGCAACCTTCCTTGACTGTCTCAGCTGTACATTATATATCATGTAAAATGGTTTCTACTTCAGCACCTCCTGATTCATTTGCATCTTAATGTATAGAGCTGTTAGAATCTTCCTATTCATTTCTGTCGGCCTTCTCTCACTTAATATCAACCCTAAGAGCATACAAAATTGACAGATGATGGCCTACTATCACCCACCACTCCAAAGACTGTTCTAGGTGTCATTTAATCAACTAAACACAACTTTATGTTTCTGACAAAGTGAGATGTCTTCACCTTGAGGTCATTTGCCACAGCATCATTTCTCTGCACAAAGGATAAGATCAAAAGAATAAATAAAACTGTCTATTCAGAATATCAACTAACAATTCCATTCTCCAATGTGAGACTAGGCCTTCACTGATCTAATCTGAGGCTGGATCAGTCCACAGAGTACCAAACTTAAAATGTTCACACACATGAAGAGAATAAGTGCAGTGAGCAGATGAAGCCCTGAGTAAATGAAGCCTGAGTTGTATTGTATTTTGACATGAACATAGCTAAGCTGAGGACTTCCCAGGCCTTGGACCCATGGGATAATCCAGAAAGCATTACTCATATGGACCAAGCTTAAGAAAATGGCAAAGCTTTTCATGGGAATCCAATTTGTGTTGTTTAATAGCTATTGATAGGTGTGCAAAGACTGGCAACTATAGCTTCCTCCTTTGTGATGTTGACAACCTGAGATTGTTCTCCAATAGAAATCTCCTACCCAGCCTAGTTGATCTCAAAACCTTTGCTGTACCTAATAAACACAGTGAAGTTCTGGATTGCAGGGTAGTGGTTAGAGAACTCCACCTGATCCTAGCTTCATTCTACATGTGTCTCTGTGTTTTCCTTTCTTCATTCCCTGTTGCCCATAGCCAGGTTTCCAGGAAAAAGACCTATGGGTCATGGCAAAAAAGAACTGACTACTTGGTTAAGAAAAATAGCACTGAGGTACCTGATACATAAAAATGCTGCTGAAAATATGTTTGCTAGAAGTCCAGTGGATGTGACCAGGGATAGCACAAGCACCAGAAAGCTTTCTAAGCATAATGTGTAGGTTTGTTGGATAGGGGATATATACACTTACTAAGATTATTTTGCACACATAAAATGGAGTATTCAACCTATGGTAAGCGTATGTGCCTCCTGGTGAGATCAGAAAAACCAGGTAAGTGTTCCAAAGAGAGGGACGAATGACAGAATCACAGTGAGGCTCTCTTTTTGTAGCAGTAAAAGTAGACTATACTCTTACATTCATTTTCATATACCTTCCTTCTCATCAGCTTGATCATCTCTCATGCATTGCTTTACACCTGCCAGGGTAGAGACCCTACAATACCCCTTTCCTGCTCAGACATCCTCCAGTGCTCCTTATTACTAGAAGAGTCAAGACATGGTACGTCTCAGGGGCATACTTCCTGCCTGGAATTCTTGTTCAGTGGCCTAGACCAGACATCTTGTCCTTCTAAGATCTCAAGAGCCACACCAACACACAAGTATCCAGTGGCACCCATCTTCCTCTCGCTGTCCTTCTCTCTCATTTCCAGCAAGCAGGGCATCTCTAATTCCCTGAAATTAATTTGTTTTCCCCAAAATAATTCTACTACTTGATTGTACTATATCATGTATTTTAGTACACATAGCCATGAGTTTCTAGAAATAAGGCCAGTCTGAAGAACTATGTGCCCTAGCAGTACAAACACAAAATCTAAACATTTAATACATATGTACACCAAGGAACACAAGCTATCTATTAAGAATTATTCCTACATGGTGAAATAATATTTGATATGCTAAGTTATAAAAATATGTTGAAATTTATTCAGCTACTTTATACATTTTTAATGTGTCTACTAGACATGTTGTTTCTGTATTAAGCTGCCAGCTTTAATATTATACACAAGGCTCAGTCACCAGTATCTGTTTCTTAGTTTTAAAGATCAGGCCAAGAGAGAAGCTCTAGGAGTTCATTAATTGAATGTCCTGAATGATACCTGTGAGCTGTATAGAGGAAATAATTTTTCCTTTTTCAAATAAAGGTTAATTCAGTGTATTTGGCAAAGACGTTCCCCCAGGAAAGGGCACTGACTATTTCTGGAACCTCTGAAATAACATCCTTGAACTGGGGATATCCAGATCTTGGTATTATGGCTACCCCTGACCTGCAAAGATCTCATGAAGCCAAGTTGCTTTTTTTCTCTCTTCAGTAGAGCTTGAGCTCAAAACTACATACTTTTAAAAGCTAGAAGGGCAAGAACTCATCTGTGGAGACAAAAGTGACATGGATATAGGAGGGAACTTAGAAGAAATAAGTGGAAATGGGAAAGAGAGGAAGACACATGAGGAGGTATCAAGACCGGGGAAAGGAAATCCCAGAGATGAAAGAACAGGGAGGGGGGTAGTTTGGAAATAGGAGGACCTAGGGATGGGGACAGGCGGGGTGGAGTCAGGAGTACCTGAGCAGGTTGATTCTGCAAATAAAAAGCCAGGCAGCAGACCAGGAGCACTCTGGATAACTTCCCCTTTCCTCCACTGCAGCTCAACTACAATCAAACATGGCCAGCCTGCAGAGATCCTCACTGCCCCTGTTGGCTTCTCTAGCCCTGACATTGATCCTAGCTGTGGGCATTGTAGCCAGTACTAATGCTGAGGATGAGCAGGTGGCTGTGGGTAGAGTGGAGCCAGCTGACCTGCAGGATGAGGAGGTGCAGAAAGCAGTGGACTTTGCTGTGAAAACCTACAATGATATGAACAACGACCTGTATATTAGCAAGCCAATAAAGGTGATGAGCGCCAGTCAGCAGGTGGGTACCTGGCCCAACGAGAGCGAGAGAAATTCGTACTTTAGAGTATTCACTAATGTTTCCCATCACTCCCTTATATCCCTACATTGCTTCTACCTCTCTGTCCCTCCAAGGAACAATAAACTTCATTGCAGGTGGTACGAATTGTGCCATAATATGAAATCGCTGCTTGCTGTTCAAACAATGTTCTCAGCAAATATCAAGGGACCCACATCCCTTCATGTGTGCATTTAGGATTGTCTCCTTTAGATTAACTAGAAATCCAGCTGTAGATTTATGGGTAATTATCTAGCACCCCCATTCTGTTTCCCAGTTTACAAAGACTGTCAGAGCCGGGGGCACAATCTGCCACAATTATCTATTTACCACCAACTCTTTCTGGTCAGTGTAAAATGCTATCTAAATAACTACAAGCATATGGCTCTTACTGAATGATCTTTGAAGTATCTTCCCTTTAACATTTTAAAAGAAAATTTAAGATTATAAATTGTGTGTGTGTGTGTGTGTGTGTGTGTGTGTGTGTGTGTGTGAGTGTGTGTGTGACACAGGAGAGAGAGAATATAACTGTCAAGGTCAGAAGTCAACAGGAATTTCAAGTGGTTGTGAGCTGCCTTATATTGGTGCTGAGAATCAAATCAAAGTCCCCCAGAAGGGCAGTATGTACTCCTGAACTCTCTCTCCAAACATGATCTCTTTTTTCTTAATTCTTGCATAATTTTAACACACACACACACACACACACACACACACACACACACACCACAATTTGTGTTGCTATATGAGCAAATTTTCAGAGTAGCCACAGAGTAGCACACAGCTTCCACACAGGTCATTCACCCCCTGTTATGTTCAGCCATACTTGGTGCATTCTTCACAGTCTCTCAAAGGTGTGTGCACTGGAGTGTGTGACTATGTGCATTTACTTTTTGGATGCATTGAAAGTAAATACTTCTTTCAGTGAACAGATCTTGCAAGTGAGGGCATCCTGTACAACTACAAGATTCCTTTTACAAAGTCAGAAGTCAACAGACACATTCAGTTACCTATCTTTCAGACTCATTCAGTTTGCTGATGCTTAATGACTGACATCCCTAGCTTATGCTGATATCCTCATCCAGTTACCTAAATATCGTTTACTATAATGGCCTCTACTCAAGTTCCCTGACCTTGAAAGTATGGAAGGATCAATTTGGCTGTGACATTCATGTTCTGCTCAATGAGATCTTGCTCAGCCATGCACTCTGAATACAATGATATGGCCCAGGGGAACTCTAATCATTTTAGCTTTTATATGCATGCTTGATGATGCTCCACTGTACATTCCTATGAGGACACATTTCTCAGACAAAGTCCCTATCTGTAAGGAACATGTGACTCCATCAACTGGTGCTCAGACTGATTTCTCTAATGTTTCCTCTAGGTTAATATCAGGCATCAGGTAAGTACTCCTTCTGATTACATGGTGGCACTGAGTACTCTAGGGAAGAACATTGAGGCTGTTGCCATTATTTTAAGATGGGAATATCACAGCCAATACCCCAGACATTGACTCCCCTCTAATTGACAAGGCCTTCCTGGATTCTGCCTCTGCAGCATGGTATTATCCCTCATCAAATAGAATATTAACCAAGATGGGAAAGTGTTTGAGCCAGCATTAAAACATACTTCCAATGTAATCTTAAATGGAAGGTTGGGGATTATATGGGATAGATTGTGTCCAATTTCAGTGAACCCATAGCAACACAGCGACAATATTGTCCACATATATGTGGACATATATGTGTAAATTTTATTTCTGTCCTCTTTTGAACATTCAGATTACTCAAGATCAGCCCTATTTTCCTGTTCCAGGAACAAACTAGTATCACACACTTGAACATATTATGTCCTTCCCATGTGTCATGGTCGTTACTGGACCATGCCACTGTATGGTGCCATACAAATGTAGGGGCAAATGTAGGGGATAAAGACTATATATTCTGTAGATCAAGTTCTACATGGGGGAATCCAAGAACAGAAGCATTAATAACCTTACTTCTAGTTCTTCAGGCAAGAACTAGCGCCCTTTTCCAGGTACCTCACACAATAATCTCTCTTCCTGAAAAGTTTCATATGGGGTGCCTGGTGCAAGGAATGTGTTAAACTCATCTGTAATTATGAACTAATGGAAGGTGTGCAAGTATGTTACACAGTTGAAAAATATCATCATAGACAATCATACTAAAAGATGAGGCAATGAGGGCCATTTTTAAATCATTTTCGTATGTACACATCTCACATTTTCCTACTCTGCGAAGAAAACAAAAGAGCTGATAAACAATGGTTAAAGAGAGGGAATAGACTTTCTGTGGGATATGTGCTATGGTGAGGGTGAAGATGAAGGTGTGTCATCAGCCTGAGACCTTGCTAGAATGTACAACTGTCAGTGCCTGCAGAGTTACAGTCAGTAGGGTTGAGTTAGTATTGTATACAATCCAGAGATTTTGCTTGTGCTCAGAGCAACCCTAGGAAATGTCTGTCACCCCTGGGTATCTCCCTAGAGCTCTGTCTTCATTCCTGGAGCCCACTGAAAAACAAAACTGTCATTGCTTGGCTTCTGTTTTCCATATCCTTATTCTGCTCTTCCTCGAGAGCACAAGTTACCCCCTTGGAGTTGCTCAGAAGAAAATGAGTTGCAATCCAAGTTTGTGCTACCCCACTGAAGGTAGCTAGTATGTTCTTTGGATGATAGTACCAACAGCTCATGGATGGAGTTATAAACGCATTAACTCTGTAATGTAAACTGACTGCATGCATATGAATTTGACTATATATATAAAATCTTTTCACTATAGGTTGTAGCTGGGAAGAACTTCTACTTGAAAATAGAGTTGGGCCGAACCATATGTTCCAAAGCTCAGTCTGATTTTACTGACTGTCCCTTCAATGAACAGCAAAATGAGCAAAAGGTATGCACATGTACCAAAACCTTCAAGATGAGGAGTTACCTTGCAGGCTGGGGAGGATGTAAACCTGTAGGCTTATGGTTGCTCATATATCTGGAATTGTAGAATTGTTTGTGTGCAGTTGTGTCCATATATAAGTAAATGCGCGCACGTGTGTGTGTGTGTGTGTGTGTGTGTGTGTGTTTAGTGTGTAAGTATGCATTCTTATGGATTACGATGAGAGGAATAATGAATGAATTCTGCGGAGTCAGTCTGAGTACCTTAGGACTTAACAGGAGCTATAGGGAGGCATGGGTGTCTCACTTACACTCTGACGTCTCAGGCTGTGTCCCTTTCCTATAACTGTAACCGAAACTAACTGTCTCTCTGTCTCCCCTTTTGTAGAGAGTAACATGCAATTTCAAGATCTACAGTGTGTCCTGGGAGAACAAGATGTCCATGACAAGTTTCAACTGTCCCAGAGCCTGAGGACCTATGCCACGCTACACTGTGCTGATTTCCCCCTTACTTTAGCTTCTCTTTTAATTCCCCTCTACTTTCTGGTGTAGGGATCTCAACACCAGAGGATGTCTCTTTGGAATGCTAGCACCAATAGATCATAAGAAAAGAATGCTACAGACAGACCCTGCACACCTAAGTGGCTAGTCCATTGTTGATTTCTTCTACTTGCTTTCCAAATGCACCACTGTGTAGCCTACTGTTCACACTTTTCTCAATAAAAGACTACCACTAGCTTCTTCTGAGTTGTTGCTGCCCCAAGGCATGAAAGAAAGTAGAATGGAACCCTGAGAAGGTGGAGCTTTACACTCACACAAAAATATCACAGTAAGGGACAGAATACACATATGTAGATAAGAAGTATCAAAATTAAATACAGAGTATATAAACAACTTAAGCACATTTGTAACAAGCAGTGAATGTAAAAGGCAATTTACAAGACCTCCCAAATAATCAAGCAAACAAACCTAGGATTAGATAGCTTTTACTACTAAATTATACAAGATCTTTAATGAAGAACTAACATGATTATTCCTCAAGCAATGTAATGAACCAAAAATAGATGGAATTCTATGAATTTACCTCATGAAAAAGTATTGTACTAATAATTAAACTAGACAAAGATTCCCAACAACAAAAGAAAAGTATAGGCATTCTGGTGAACACTGAAGCAAAAATTCTCATGAAACACTTGTAATATGAATTTTAAAAACATATCAAAACTCACTCATAGTGTGTTACGCCTTCCAGGGCCCTTCTTTTCTGCATTCACCCTCTTTATCCAGCCATATTTCCTACCTCCTTCTTTGATGTCTAGGCTTTATCGTCTTCCTAACTTCCCCATCTACACTTTACACCAACCAACCATATTTAACTTCATATCACTCTATATACTGGCATAGACTAACCTCCCCTTCCCGAGCCACAAATTATTTCTTGACTTCTACCAGGACTCTACCTACATACCATTCAACTCACAGACCTCCCCCATGCTATATTTAACCTTTTCACACAGCCAGATTTTCCCCAGCAATCCAACTTGGACCACGAAACACCTCCTGTACACTAGGCAAGCTCGTTATGTCTACCCGACTTTATTACACTCAAAGCATTTCCAGCCTCCATGTATAGTGACAGCTTCAAAGGAAAGTTTCTAAATAGTGGAAGAGCATTGTCCTCAACTTCAAGCACAGAACTAAGATACTCATTTATACTATGCTTTTTGGCATATACACTTAGACATTGCAGGAGTGTTAGTTACTGATAAAGGGGACATCAGCAACAGTACATGCCAAGGATACAGGCTGTGGAGATGTTGGGACTTGGTATAAAACTTCAAGAATAAACAGGAACAGTAAAAAGGACTATGAATACAAAGTATCTTCTAACATCTTAATAGGTTCTCAGTGTATCACCAAAGATAAATACTAAGTAATACTTAGTATTTGCAGTGATGGTCTCAAAGTGTTACAAGGCATTGATTTTACTAAGACATCTTTGGGCAGATAAGGATGCTATACATTTTAGATATTTTTTAATTTAATACAGTAAATATTTTTTCCCAATACTAATGGTGAACCCCAGGGAATTATGAAAGCTAGGTAGTGCTACTTTCCTACTAAGATTAAGTCCCAGCTTGTCTTTATGGGGCATGATCTCTGTTTTTGTAGCCCATTGGTGTAAACTGTTCATATTCCTGGCTCTACATCCCGAATACTTTATTACAAGTGTGAAGCACTACACCAGGCTGTTATATACAGTTTTGATGTTGAAAATAAATTTGTCTATCTAGGGAATTTACTTGTATGTAGGTATTAAACAAATTTTAGTCTTTCTGCTTTATAATAAGGTATGAGGTGGGCTGAGGGTCACAATTTCTCTCACTTAAATGGTGTGGGCTCCATTGAGATGGCATTGAAGAACTAGACCAGTTCTGTATTAGGGACACTTTGGCAGTAGTACTGATACAGCAGAATCTAAGTTCTAAAGCTTATACAGCACATGATCAAGTGTGGCCATGTCTCACTGTGTCTTCTGGCTCATCTCTAACAAACTGTATGTCTCTGTTCTGCTCTGCTCTGACAGCTTACCTGCAGCTTGCCACAAGGTATGCCATCAACCTTGAAGCCCAGGGGCTCAGAGCACACATCACCATGAATGGCCAGTAGCCCTTCCCAATGGGACAGATGTAGGGAGGTACTTTGCTGACAAGAATTGCCTGAAGCCAAAAATGCCAAGCTCCTTAACCATCAGGCTATTCCTGCAATTCTTCCCAATGTCACCTGAGAGCTGAGAGTGTACTTCTGCTCGTCTATCCTGTTTTCTTGCAACTTCTACTCAGAATCTCATGGGGCTTTTCTAAAGTCAATTGCTTGTGTGCAGAGGCAGTATCCACTTCAGCTGCTCCCAAGGAAACTGACCTCAAACTGGAGGGAAACACAGGATTAACAGCCAGTGAGAAATCCACATTTGTACTCAAAAGTCACTCCTATGCCTTCTGCTACATTTTATCTCATCCAAACTTCCTAAGGATAAGTCTTAAGTCCAGTGTCTGATTCTTTTCTAGAAAGCAAGCAAAAGTTTGAAGAAAACCTCTGATGGGGAGGAACTGAGCATTTAGCCTTGTGGTCTTGAGTACAGAACAGAGTACTGTGTCTTGAGTACAGAACAGAGGCAGATTCCCATATAGGCAAAGGACAACCATGAGGTCCTAACCTAGAGTCTGCACTTCTGGTCTGCAACTTGAAAGTTCTAATATTTATTACTTTTGTGATCATTAGTCTTGAAGATAAACATTATAAATACACTTATGTACAAATATACATGTTTATATGTCACGTGAACTTGTGCAAATCTATTAATACCTGCACTCTTTTCTTGTTTTTTCAAGACAGGGTATCTCTTTGTAACAGCCCTGGCTGTCCTGGATCTCACTTTGCAAATCAGGCTCAACATATTCAGGCTTAGGCGAAAAAGAATGTATGAGGACATTGTAAACATTTAACTTTTTATTTGCCAACATTACAAAATCTTTTAGCAATGATAACATGGTTAGTGGTAGAAATCAGGAGCAAATGATCTTTAAAAGTTTGAAATTTATCTTTTACATATTTTGTAATATGTAAATTTTAGAGTATATTTTACATTGATATTTGGTAGTTTCAAAGGCTTGATTGGAAAACAAGACTGTCATGATACAGAATGTTATTTGTAAAACAGTACTGATTATGAATAGTAATTTTGACAATTTTTATATCAAACCTGACAACTATAACAAACTATCTTTATTATTTTGGTAAATGCAACCTTCCACTTAATAAAACAATTTCTTTATTTTTTTTGTGTGTGTGTGGTTTTTTTCTGCATGTACACATGTACTGCTGGTGTGCTGTACCTGCAGAGGCTAGAAGATGGTGTTAGATCTCCAAAACCTGGAGTTACAAAAGGTTGCAAGCTTCCATGTAGATTCTGGGAATCATAGCATGCTTCTAAAAGAGGAGCCAGTGCTTTTTACCACTGAGCAATCTCTCTAGTCCCTTTCAAATTACTTGTAGTGGATGATTTTTAGAGCTCACAGACACTTTTGGAAGGTATTTCTTTTTTTAATTTTAAATGTGCACATGTGACAACAACATTTTTATGACAAATATCCACCATTATTATGATGAAATTGCATGATTAAATTTCAAATACTCATTTCCACACTGTTTTTAAATTATCTTTCTCTATCACTGTCAGAGCACAACATCCATCTAGCGCAGACCTCTAGTGCTTTCTAGAGAACACAATATTGAAAGCTGTTCTGTAAGTTTCACACTTCCATTTATTGTCAGTTTTTGTTTAATTTACTTTTAGCATGGTTTAGACCTGTATGGTCTAAACACTGAACTATACCCTTAGCGATTTATTTATATTATTTTATATAACCAAGTCCATTTAAATGAAAACAAACATTTATAGACAATATTTGTGAATTTGGGTGTTGTTCTTTCCAAGCTACTTCTTGCTGGTAAGGGGCGCTCTCATGGGGGATTCGAAGAAGATTCAGAAATTATGGCTGTAGTCTGTAAGGCTGCTTTGTCCAGTTGTTTTCATGTAGGATCACCTGGTACTCTGTTTCAGGCTGTCTGGTTTGATCAAACCACATTAGTCTGGAAGGAATCCACAGCTTTTCATTTTCTGTGGAAACAAAACTAGAAATCCTTTTCCCCAGTAACTTGTCCTTCAACTTAAATTTTGGAGTCAAAGCATTTTTTAAAATTTAATTTATTATTTTACATGTCCATCCCAGTTCCCTCTCCTTCCCTCCCTCCCTCCCTCCCACCCTCCCATCCCCCCACCCCAATTCCATATGTAGGGGAATGCCATCCAGTTGGGGTCATGTAGATTTGACAGGTCGTGTGAAGTAGGGACTAGGGCTTCTCTCCTGTCTCTAGATTAAGGCAGTTATCCATGGGACTGACTCAGGCCCCTCTGAATATGGGTCTCAGCCAGAAGGACTGAGCAGTCTAAGGGACCTCAGACAGTGGAGCCAGGATGTATCCCTGGTGCACAAAAGGACTTTGCTAACCCTTAGCAACTTTTAAGTTATTATTTATTTTTCATTATTGAGAAAGTGTATTGAGTTATACTGACTGGAAATTTCTTCAGTATTCTAGGTGAAAACTGAACTTAAATTCATCCTTCCTCAGTCTCTGGAGCATGTTTTTCTTAAAAGGAAGGTAGACCCCATAGTTCCTCTTGGTATCAATAGGTCACTGAAGCTCATATCCCTGTCCCCATTTCTATAGAACTGAAATACAACTCCTAGGATCATTTGCTGGGTACAACTTGCTTCACACCATTCACCTTCTCTCTATCTATTTCTCAAGGCAGAGAACAAAAAAAGCATTGAATGCATGAGAGACTGAAATTTGGTTAAAAATGGGTAAGTTAGATAAAATTGGATTTTAAAAAATTGGCATTTTGAT